ACACTACACGACTTTCCAGGTTGCAGAAGTAATGATGCATAGCAGCAATGGACCGGAACCACCAAGCGCAGCCTGTTTCCTGGACCATCGCGATTGTCTCCATATGACGAACGTTGATGTTTGGCCCGCTCGCTGTTGACAACCGGAGTGGCGTCATTGTCGTCGGCTGGCTGCAGCATTGCGCCCACATTCCCTACGACCTCTATACCGTCTTCATTAACGTCGCTAATGGCTTCAGTGATTTTTTATATCTGCTTTAATGACCTAACACGCTTTGGGAGCTTCGGGTCAATGTTTTGCAGCGTTTGGTCCGGTCAGAAACAGTCCGATTCCTCGTTGACTTTCGGGCGTGAGCTTCCTAGCAGTATCCATGGCATTAAAGTACTATGATATGGTTAACATGTATGTCTCCTGTGAGATTCTAGCGGCTTTGGCACGGACAGTCCATTTTTGGCTGGAGGAATGAACTTGCACGGTCGGGACATTATTTATTCTTAACTTTCAGGACCACGAACATTTTTTTATTCCGAATTCGGAATATATTCCGCAAAAAAATAACGCTGAACGCCAAGCGAAAGAGATCCGCGCCGTCCGCCGCCGCCGCCGCCGGTGCCGCCGCCGGCGCAGTGGAAGGCACGGAGGACGGGGGAGGGGAGGAGGACAAGGAGGAAGCAACCGCTGGCGGGTCAGCGGCGGCGACGGCGGCGGTTGCTAGCCTTGCGCCGCCAAAAGGTGCCGCGGCGGAACGGCGAGGGAAAGGCGGTCGGGCTCCACCGCCGCCGCCGCCGCCGCCGCCGTCGGTGCAGTTGCCTCCAGGTCCCTTCCCGCCCTCGCACTACGTGGCATCATTGAACGAGCTTAAGCAACATAACTACCCGTTGCCGTACTTGGAGGAGGAGGAGGAGGGTGAAGGGGGGACGGGGGGAGAGGAACGAGGAGGGGAGGAAGAAGGTGGCGGCGGCGCGCGGAGAGGCCCGCAGAGGCGGCTTGTATGTCCTCCGGGCTTTGTGGCGACGCGACCTTCGGGTAATAAGGACCTAAACAGGATGCGGGTTCGGTGCAAAACTGCTTACGTGGCTTGTGTGGATGTCGCTGTCTTTGAAAACAAATTGGAAAATCTAGCTGAGCGATGAATGGATGGATGTAGATGTACATGTAGATGTAGATGTGTGTACTACAGTGCCGTAATCCAACACCAACCAGTTGTTGCCAGTGTTTCTGTCTCTTCGTGTACGGCCAGGCTGTACGAGCAAAAATGCAAGCGCTGCATCAAGGACTCTGGCCTCCCTCCCTGGACTCTGGTGATCGGGACGGAGTCCTACTTAGTAGGAAGTGGTGTTGTTGAGAAAGGAGGAAAATCGAGTCATCTAGTATGGGTCAATCCAACACAGATGGATAACGGTACCGACCTTGAGGATGGCGAGTTGCCGGGCGAAGTCGCAGACGGCCACGAAACATTTGCGGACCCGCTGCGCAAGCAACGCAAGATTAACCACGGCGACCACGCTGGAAAGCATGGTCGGCACGGAACCGATGCTGGTCACAGGCCGGCGTTGAAGCCAGAACCGTACAATCAGGCCCGGCACAGTCTCCAAAACCAAGGACGCCGTGATAATACATCAGCAGACTACAGCGCCGCGCTACTTAGAAGAGAATACCAACAACACGAGCAACACGAACATGCCCAGCAACAACCCAGTCAGTTGCCTTCAGGCAGCATCCGCCGACTTCCATGGCCGACAGGGCCGCTAGGCCGACTATGTCCCATACAGCCTGTTCACAGCCAGCTGGGGGCTGTACTAGCCAGAGCTGTTTCCGGGTGACTCCTCCTACCGCCGCTTCTTGAGAAAAAATATATTATATATATATATATATATATATATATATATATATATATATATATATATATATATATATATATAGAGAGAGAGAGAGAGAGAGAGAGAGAGAGAGAGAGAAGAATATAGGATATACATAACCAAGGATAACTGAAAGAACCGCGCATGCTGCCTTGCCCGAGAGTTCAAGTTCATCTCGAGACACAAGCACGTGCACGCTTAGCTTTGTAAGAAGGGTTCACCGGCAGCTTCCTTTGCATTTCCCGCGCGAACATTGTGTCTGGTGTTTCAAGCGTCTATCTGTTGTTGCAGCAGAAATGTACGTTGTAAAAGCAAGCACGCATGTTTGTGTGAAGACCCCATGTACGGCACGGTACGGTACGGCTTCACAACCAGGCCGATGTATATGGAAAGTATGTCCTGAACGCGACCAAGGGTCGTTATGTGCAGACGGGAGCAACTGGATTCTTGGCCGTGCGCGTGAGCACTGGACGGCGCCGCAATTTTATGAATAATACAACAATAAGTATATGAAGACCCTGAATCCAGTCCGCCGAACGAAAACATTATAGCCTGCTGCTCAGGGAAAGTGAAAGGAACTGGCTCCAGTTGGCGTCTGGAGGAAGCATTAGTTCCTAACTTGCCCGATCTGCAGAGCACGGCACCCAGCCAAAGGGGGAGAGCTTCGAAAAAAACGAAATTCGGGAGCTTCAAAAAACGCGTCGACATGGTTTGCAAGTTTTCGACAGCTTATATGCTGTTGTTATAGTTCATCCGAAGAGCACAACACCTGCTGTCACGACTTGCATTGCGGATTTAGCAGTAAGGACTGCGGACTGCGGATAGAGGTTAGCGGAGAGATAATAACGGACAGAAGTTAATGTACCAATACGCAGCGGCAGCAGCAGCACCACCACCAACATGACTACCACCGCCATCATCACCACGTGTTTGCAGGAGCAGCATCACCAACATCACCAGCATGACCTTGGCCCTCGCTGCCCATCATCGGAATCGCAACATTGCTGCTGCTTCGACGCCCTTTTGCTTCAAAAAGGTGAACTGTAATAAAACACGCCAGCTACTTGTTAAAGATGCGGCACAACAGCAAACAGACTAACAAACCGAGAAAACCCCGCTCGCCCCCTCCGGGAGGATTAAATTACAGCGATTTTTCAGACATCTTATTTCTCCAAGATGCTTCAACGCGGTTCATCCAGGTGATGATGCTGATAATGATGAAATTTTTACATTTCCTGCTAGATCGACAGCAGGTTATGATCTATTTAAAAGGTATGGAGATTGGATCAGCCTTAGCAGCTAGGTAAGCTCGGGGAGGCAATCCGCGGCGATATCCAACAGGCTCGACGGGACACCAGACACTGCTGCGAGCTAGGGACAGCTTTGGACCGCGGCTGGTGGATATGCCTCGTGCCGTTGCACACCTACCGCGGCCTGGTGGCACGTGTTTGATCATTATTATTATTATTAATCGCGAGCCCACAATTCCAGCAAAAGTGAAAGATCTGTCCTTACGTACGGTATTTACTTCTTCAGCTGTGGAAGGCAGTGCTCGCGGTTATGTCCGCGTTCAGGAGGTCGTCCCTGCAGAGGTAAGAGAGTGGTCGCAAACAGTTAAGGTAAAGGCACAGATAAAATTACACAGCTCTGTAGGTATCTATGTGTGTATGTAAGTATGTATGAACTCGGGTGTGCCATCGCAGGGGAAGGCAATAATAATAAAGTAATAATAAAATAATAATAATAAAATATTAGTAGTAATAATAAGGGTAAGAAGAAGGAATGGAGAAACGTTAGAGAAAGGCTTTGGTGCTCGATGGTGGTGTGTATGTACGAAACAAAACAAGTGTCCAAGTACGTATAGGGCAAAATGAAAGTTTTACAGTGCTAAAAGACCGGAACCGTTTCCTTACCAGAATTGACACTTGGCATCCAGCAGCAGGTCAGCCGCCTCAAACACCCGCGGTCCAGCCGTGTCTATGTTCATGACGGGGTTCGAGGTGGCGGTCCAGGGCTTCCAGCTTGGGGTGTTCTTGAGCAGGCGGGAGGTGAGGGAGCTGGTGCGCGGCGGCAGGGGAGAACCAGAGGCGGCCACGGCGTTGATGATACCTGTGTACGACAAATGTACGGCAAAGGTCCGGCAGGGGTGCACGTGGCAATTTACATGTATGTATGTACATGCTTATAAATGGATAAATGTCGCGCATCAGCACTTCGCTTACCCGACAAGTACGACGCAAGCTGCGTCTCGTTAGGTGTGAAGGGACACTGGTTGAACGGATAACGGTACGGCGCTAGGAAGGTGAAGGGAATGTCCTGCACGTGCATGCGCATGAAATGTAAGAATATGAGAGCTCATACCATCTCAAACGCACGAAGTGATACACTGAGAGCAGAGCCTGGAATTAATTGGCCCCAAACCCCGAACTTACATAAGAGTGGAACGCATCCATGAAGTTGGTGAACTCCTCGCCAAAGAACAAGCCAGTAGTCACTGAGGTTTCACGGCATGTACGGCATGACGTAAGAGAGCGGGCCCCCCGGGCATGTAAGCTGAGGCGGTGTCACATCACCGCAGCCGGGCATACATACATATGCATTTATACACGCATGCACCCTCCATATCGTAAGGTCCGGACGAATAGGCAATCTGCCGTACGTAGAGTACGTACGTACGGCGTCCTACTATGTGGCCGTACATAACATGCACACACAGGCATCCTGTTCGCTGTCCATTACACCCCTCCCCCTCCCCCCCCTCCCCCTCCCCCTCCCCCTCCCCCTCCCTCCTCCCCCCCCCCATACACTGCTCACCGAACAGCGGACACCCTGTCTTGGGTTTCGAGGTTTGCAGGATGTGGTACCGCACGGTGAGTCCCTGGGCGGACAGGAGCTTGACAACGCGGCGGGAGGGGCAGTGGTAGCCGCCATCTGGTTCCGGAGCGAAGGAGGGGGCAGGGGGATCAGGGACAGGAGGGGAGAATGGGGGGAGTAGCACAGGAATGCATGACGGACTTCACTGCCAACAATTTACTTAGGATTTTTACTTAGGGATTTTACTTAGGGTTTTTAGGAAATATAGTGGAAGGGTTGAATGTCTTATCTAACCACGGACAGCAAACGGGCAGCAAACGGGCAGCAAACGGGCGGCACGCGACCCCACGCGAAAAAAATGTTATACAGGGTTGTCAGTATCGGAAAAGGTCGTGTGCCGTCAAGCATGCCTGTGGCTGTGCGTGTTGCGCTGGTTGGGTCGCACCGGGACCGTCACCCTCAGATCCCCGAAACCCCTTTACCCCGCTTGGGAGGTAAGAGCCCTCCCACACACACCCAAAACAGCGTGTGTACGTACGGTAACGCATGGCCGTATCCGTGCCGTACAATGTCGTGTACCTACGCATACACACCTGTAATCACATTGATAGCTGAAAGAAGCCAACTGCCACCATAGTACTCGTCCGTGTTGTACTGCTGGTACAGCTGCACGTACAGTACGGTAACAGTACGACATTACTTTTAAAAAACATTCTATCAATGAGGGCGTGTAGTTCACTGAACGAAAGAGTACGGCACCCAATGTAACCGTAAACGGTTAGCCGTTAAGTTTCCGTACATACCCGTTCGTTGAAGGATGGCGAAATGGGGATCAGGCTGTTCACAACGGTGAAAAAGCCCTCCACGTCAATGGGGTCCAAGCCGCGGGTTTGACCAAGAACCTCCAAAGCTCCCTCGTTGGCGTTGACTCCAAGCAACACTGGAACCTTGGTGGCGTTGCCTAATTAAGAAGAGCCCACATGATTCGAATTACGTTCGCTAGA